CCTCAGCTCAAGGCTAGCGCTCTACCACTTGAGCCACAGCGCCACTTCTGGCTTTTTTCTTTTTGCTTATGTGGTGCTGAGGAATCGAACCCAGACACGCAAGGCAAGCACTCTACCACTGAGCCACCTTCCCAGCCCTATGCCTTTAATCCTAGCTGAAATGCAGGGATTGGGGTTTGAAGCCAGACTAGGCAACAGAGTCCATGAGACTCTTAGCTCCAATTAACCAGTAAAAAATCAGAAATGGAGGTGTGGCTCAAGTGGTCGAGTGCCAGCTTTGATTGGAGAAAGCCAAGGGATAGTACCCAGGCTCTAAGTTTAAGCCTTAGTGCGCGCACACACACAGACACACAGACACACACACAGACACACACACACACACACACACATGCACGAAAGAAACCAAATCACAGAGAGGAAAGTGGATCTAGGAATTCTACTATTGTCTAAGTAAAACCTTAGGTTTTACCTTTAGCTGTGGACCATAAAATAGCAAATTGCATCCATCCTTCAATTTTTGAAATACTCTTCTTACTGTAGAGTCTGCTGACTTTTATGGAATCATTCAATGAAGAGAAGAAATCCTTCCAGGATGTCCTGCCACTGGAAGGAAATCCAAGCGAGCTGAACAAAGATCAGTTGAAGATGAGAGAAAGCTGGCTTGGCCTCAACCACCAGGTTACTGTGCTGTGCGGGTTTGAAGATTTCCAAGGGGCAGCTTTGTCTTGGTGGCTAAGGATAGGATACATGCTTCATAAAAAAATGAGACAGTATTCTTACATTTCCCTATAGTGTTAGTCATTGAATAGGAGATTTGTGTGTGTGTGTGTGTGTGTTGTAGTGTGTGTGTGTGTTGTAGGGCCTGAACTCTGGGCCTGATTGCTGTCCCTCAGCTCTTCAGCCCAAGGCTAGTGCTCTACCACTTAAGCCACAGTGCCACTTTCAGATTTTTCTGCTTGTGTGGTGCTGAGGAATCGAACCCAGGGCCTCATGCATGCAAGGCAAGCACTCTACCACTGAGCCACCTTCCCAGACCCTAAATAGGAGATTTTAAAGCATTCTGCTTAAGTGCATACTCACTCAAGATTGTATTTGCTATCTGTTCTTGATCTACTGTGGTACTCTATGTATATTAGTCACAGTAAATGAGTCATTTTTTGGTTGACCCTGTAGTCTCTTCTATCATCAGATGTCTATATCAATATTGAAAGAGGTGGCACCAAACCTGGAAAGCATGTGTAAAGGTGTGAGTGTGTGTGTGTATGTATGTATGAGAAAGAGACAGAGACAGAGATCTGTTTCATCTCTTCAGCTTTATTAAAGCTTAGAGACAGGAGCTGGTGGCTCATGCCTGTAATACTAGCTACTCAGGAGGCTGAGATCTGAGGGTTGCAGTTCAAAGACAGCCGGGGCATGGAAGTCCCCACGAGACTCTTATCTCCAATTAACCACTCAAAAAGCCGAAGTAGAGCTGTGGCTCAAAGTGGTAGAGCACTAGCCTTGAGCAAAAGAACTCAGGGACAGCTCCCAGGCCCTGAGCTTAAGCCCCATAATAAAAATTAAAAAAAAAAAGAAATTAAAGCTTGGTTTATGGCCTAGCATATGGTATATAACAACATGTATCAAAAAGAACATGAACTCTTCAATTATTGGGTGCAATAATTGCCCCTAGATTTGTGTGGTGGTTGAGAATATTGTTCAGATTATCTATGATTTGATTGGCATTTTTCCCTGTTGTTCTATCAGCTGCTGAGAAAGAAATACAAAGAACATTGGAAATAGATATTTAATTTTACTAAACTTTCTTTTATGTGTTCTAAAACTTTATTAGGCATTTAGGATGTAGAGTTGTTTTATTTCCTTCATTTTTATATCCTCAGTTTTTTCCCCCTTGCTTTGAATTCAAAAAAATAATTCTATTTAATTTTTTTCTATTGACTTTTGGTGTATCATCTCATTATGACTTTTATGTATGTATGTGTGTATGTATGTATGTATGTATTTATTTATTGTTGGTCATGGGGCCTAAACTCTGGGCCTGGTCACTGTCCCTCAGCTCTTCAGCTCAAGGATGCCACTCTACCATTTGACCTACAGAGCCACTTCTGGGTTTTTCTGCTTATGTGGTGCTGAGGAATCGAACCTAGGGCCTCATGCATACAAGGCAAGCACTCTATCACTGAGCTACCTTCCCAGCCCCTCATTATGGATTTTAAAATGGGTTATAATCTACTTTCTAAACTTCACAGAGGTCTACAGTTTTTTAGTTATCATATAGCCTCTTTAATATGTAAACTTCTTGGAATTTGACTCATTTTTCTCTTTTATGTCCTACGGATGTTTTATATATGAATATGTATGGCTTGTATTTTATATATATGACACAACTCTATGAATGTCCCCAAGACCATTTTGTTTTAAACAGCAATATATCTTATTTTATACTTCATTTGAATGTCCTAGATCACATTCACCCTTTTTCCTGTTTCTTAAGCTCTTTCCCGTCCTTTTAAACCTTTTAAATGGGCCTAATTATGCTATTTTTACAGTATATATATATATATATATATATATATATATATATATATATATATATATATATATATATATATATATATATATATACATATGTATGTGTATATATATATAAAATGTGCCAGCCATATATTTAAAAAAAGTTAAAAATTGACAAAAAAAAGGACCTTTTCTTTTTTTTGGTTGTTGTGGTTCTTGAACTGTGGGCTTGGACACTATGCCTGAGCTCTTCAGCTCAAGGCTAGCGCTCTACCTCTTGAGCCACGGCGCCACTTGTAGTTTTCTCGTGGTTAATTAGAGATAAGAGTCTCACCGACTTCCCTGGCCAGGCTGGCTTTGAACCACAATCCTCAGATCTCAGCCTCCTGAGTAGCTAGGATTACAGGTGTGAGCCACCAGTGCCTGGCTAAAATGACCTTTTATCCATTAAAAAGATAATGAAATGATTTTTCATGAGATTAAAGGGTCTGTATGGCCAGGAAATTTTTCTTGCTGTAGCACAGACAAAGTTTGCTGATCCTGTTTGGCTATTAGAAGTGATCATCTGTTTTCCAAATACATTTTCCACACAGTTTCCTTAGTGTTTAAAGTAGTTTCCCAGTGGTTAAAAAGACCCACCCTCTGGGTAGGACCAGATTTTTTTTTTTGCCAGTCCTGAGACTTGAACTCAGAGCCTGGACACTGTCCCTGAGCTGCTTTTTGCTCAAGGCTAGCACTCTACCATTTTGAGCCAGAGCCACTTCCAGCTTTTTATAATGTGGTACTGAGGAATTGAACCCAGGGCTTCATGCATGTTAGATAAGCAGTCTCCCACTAAGCCACATTCCCAGCCCTAGGTCTAGAATGTTTCTAGCCTGTGGTGAAGCTCCAGTGCACCTGCTGCTACCAGCTTCTAACTGACTCTTGGGTGGGGACAAGAATTGCCTGTGCACAGGTCCTTACCAGCATCAGTGTCCACACAAAAGACACTGTATAGTTCACACTGTTCCAGGCTACAGAGACATGACCTAATTTTGTAGAAAATGATTTGAAAAAATACTCCAAATAATGAGAAACATCACAAGAAAAATTCTTTTGCAAATAGATAGTATCTGAGAAATCTGTCCTTTTGTCAAGTAGACTGTGGTGCTTTTTCTTGCTGTGATGATATGCTAATTTTAAAGTAATCAGGTGCATAAAAGTTAATGTCTTCTGGACAGTTTCTGATTGAGCAGTTTAAGGATACAGAGATCTTTAAGCATCCTAAGAAATTATTTCCTTTTAATCTTGCTTCAGAATATAGTAAGAACTTACAAAAATTTCCAGTCAAATTCCAAAATAATTGTGTGAGGAAGGAAGTTTGGGACTAGTTTTCTATGTTAAAAAAGGAAGGAAACAACATTGTGGTAAACTGCCTTGGTTTTTTTTGTTTTTTGTTTTTTTTTCTTCTGTGTCAGTCCTGGGACTTGAACAAAAGGACCTAGATGCTGTCCCTTGGCTTTTTTGCTCAATGCTAACACTTGACTACTTGAGCCATTGCTCCACTTCAACACATTTTGTGGTTAATTGAAGTCTCATGGACTTTCTTGCCCAATCTGGCTCCAAATTGCAAGTTTCAGACCCTAGCCTCCTGAGAAGATAGGATTACAGGCATGTGCCACTAACACCTGGCAAAACCTAAATTATTATTATGTCAGTCACGGTCACAGGGCTTGAACTCTGGGCCTGGTTGCTGTCCCTAAGCTCTTTAGCCCAAGGCACGAGTTCTACTACTTGAGCCACAGTGCCACTTCTGGCTTTCTGTTGGTTAATTGGAGATAAGAGTCTCGTGTACTCTCCTGCAAGGTCTGTCTTTGAACTGTTATCCTCAGATTTTAGCCTCCTGAGTAGCTAGGATTACAGGCATGAGCCACCAGTGCCTGGCTTAAATTCTTAATGGTTAGGTTTGGTTGTTAGGGAAGGAGCTGGTCTTGGAGGTGGTATCCATTCTAGTGTTCCTCCAAGCCCTCTCCCTGGCCCTGTGCTATCACTTACTGTTCTTTACTGAAATGATGACCTTGGTGGCCTCTCTCAGCAGGTCATTCAGGTATGAGCTATTGCTTTTATGCATCAAGATTGGGCTAGGTGTTATTAACACATAGTGACTATGTGTTAAGTTTTACTTTTTTATTCATACATGGTACATGGTTGAACAAGGCCCTCCTTTTCCTCCTCTTCCTCTTCCTCTTCCTCTTCCTCTTCCTCTTCCTCTTCCTCCTCCTCCTGTTCCTCCTCCTCCTCCTTCTCCTTCCTTCCTTCCTTCCTTCCTTCCTTCCTTCCTTCCTTCCTT